TTTGTTCATTTTCCTATTGACCTACCAGAGACAATGGAAATTGGTTAACATGCTCAAAATTAAGTTCTGGGTTTTTTTGTAGTTTTCAGAGACCTCTACTTACATACCACCTGCATGCTGGAGTGGCATCAACTGATGAATAAGCAATCTGTTAGCATCTTGGACTAAAAGCAAGGTGCTGATGAGGACTGAGGAATGAAGCCAGACATTTAGGATAGCGGACACAATAAATAACCTGCCAGTTTGTGAGAGGTGCACAGTGGTCTTCTGAGTGTGTTTTGGGTGAAGCTGAGGAAGAACTTTGGTCTTTGGCAGCCAGCTGAGCAAACTTAATTTTAGATGCTGGATGACAAAATCTGTGGGATGTGGCACACAAGGTGCCACAATGTAACTGCAATAGAGGGCCAATTTTTAAATCTCGTTTTCAGAAACAGCTAAACGAGATTCACATAGATAATTCAAATGTCCAAAGATGGAGACAGGCATCATGCAGGTTCTTTAGAAATTCTTATGTGCTAGATAGTATGGACACGGAATGCATATGAAAGATGCATTGTCTTTTAAGACTTTAAAAGAAACTTGTCTAGTCATTCTTACATAAATTTTGGCTAAGCTGCTACCATTTGTTTTGTAGACTCTCAAGCTTTTTCTTATGCTTAAGGGTACAGGCAAGGAATCAATTACTCCATTGTAAACTGCGTCCTAACCATAGTTGTAGGCTCATGCCTTGTGGGACCCCACAGCAGCAGCACGCATCCACCTTTGTGTGAGAGCACAGCATCTTACTGTGAGAGCAGTGCACCCCTACTTTACTGCGGGCACATTCTGGATGCCTCAGTTTGGTAATGTGTCTCACAGAAAACCTGTGGCTGTGGACTTCAAAGGAAAAGACATACCTCACCAATTCAACTGTTTCAATAACATTGTTCTCTCCATTATTCCTTATCTCCTGCTCTGGAGTATTTCATGGTTGGCAAGGCGGCTTTCCAAACAGTGTTAACAGCCTCACTTATAAGGTCTTCCGTAGGCAATAGGCTACTCCTAGTTAAGTACTCCAATGGTGTCAGGGAAGATATCAAAGACAACCTTAAATAGTTTAGATAAGTTGGGCCACTCAGATTTCAAAACAGAGCTTATGTCCTCAAGTGATTTCTTTACTTCCATGAAATTTCATGAAAGTTATTTTTTGTGGTTTTTCTGTTGGCTGACCTCTTACTTTCCTTCTTGGAAAAATTATGTTATAAATGTATATTATATAGTAATGAGATAAATCATTGTCTATGCCTGTATTTTCTGCAAGTGAGCATTCTACATGCTTAGTCCTTTAGTTCTTAAAATATTTTTTTTTTAGATATTTCACTCAAAAGACTGACAGAACCTTTTTCTTTGCAGTTGATTTTTTTTTAGGAGTTATTCAGTCCTGTATTAAACTGCTGCAAAACGAGACATGAACTTTGAGATATCGTCAAATTAATAACTTTCATTACAGTGGAAACAAGATCAAACTTATCAAGAAACTAAAATTATATTCCATACTAATTTATAGGAGGTATTTTCTTTTCTCACTAAAACAAAATCAAAATCCTTTTCTAAGAGGTTTCTGATGTGATCTCTTTGACTCTTCTATCAAGTCTTTAAAAGACATCTATGAAAAATACTATCTAAATCCTGATTTCAGACATGGAATCAGGGGAGGGAGGCCCATGTTTTTAAAGGTACAGATGGAGAGTCTGTGTACAGATGTGTACAGATCTAAAACCAGAATTCATTACATCTGAGAACTGCTACCATTCATTTGTACTGGTTTATTAAATGGCATGTGGAACAAAAAGTCTCTAAAATGAATGCTCTCTGGTCTGCTTTCCTTAGGAATTACAAAAGAGAAAAGAATGTGATTATAATTTTTGTTTCAGGCAATTTATTTGTCTGCGCTTTGGTACTGATCTTCAGAGATCCTTTCTTACTCTTGCCATCACTATACCTCCAACTGCAGAGGGAGTTTCATCTTTCACAAGTTCTTATTTTCAAGAATTTAAATATTTGATAATAAAGTGCCCTGTTGGACAAGACAGAGGCCTCCATAACGATTCTTCCAATTGTATTTCTGCAGTGCAAAGCTGCTGCTTTATATGCATCGCAGGATTGAGATGGTATAACAGAGGGCAGGGAGGTTAGGATCAGAAGGGAACATAGTGATCATTTTCTGAGTTACTGGATAATTTCACAAAATTTGCAATTCTAGAATTGATACTACATTTCTGCTGGTATGATTCAAAAACTAAACTCTGGAGAGGACAGCTATGGAGGCAGAAGGGATGCAGCCTTAAAAAACCCCCACAACCCTGCAGACAAGTACTTTCCAAGAATCACCCTCATGTCACCATGAGCTTTGCCCTGCCTGTGGAAAACAGACTGCAGGAACAAAGGCTGTGATCTCTGGCCCTGGGCACCTTGTGAAGGCTGAGGGGGTGAGCCTGTTTACAGGATGCTGCACCCCCTACCACCTGCAGAGAATATTAAAGCTGAAATATAAATAGTCTGGACCCTAACTCAGCAAGAATTCTCACAAGTCCAAATAAATATCGTCTAACAGAATAATGAAAGCAGTACTGTGGATTATTTTGCTCTTTTGCAGTATGGAAACAACATGTTAAGGTGATAATTTTGAATAGTGATATGTACAAATAGTATTAAGTCCCACGTGAAAAAGGAATACTTAATTTCCCTTCCAAGAACACCTGTGTACTAAAGTTTACAGAAATCATAGGCCTAAAGTCAATATCATCTAATGCAATCTTTTCAGAACAACAAGAGAAAAAAAATTGCAGGAAACACAGGTAATTTATACTGCTGCAGGTGAGATTCTATCAGAAAGGGGGAAAAAAAAAAGGCATCTTAACTGACTGATGGTACAGCTTTTATTAATGAGTCACAATACTAAACTGCTGTAGCAGTGGAAAGTTCATCAAGAATTTGCAAGTGCAAATTGACAGCTGATTCACAAAAAAAATATTGAAGTCATCAAGTAAATTGTTCAAAAGAAATAATCTTATCCTAATTGTGATGAAGCAGGAAGGAACCGGCTACAGAAAAGCCAAGCCACAAAGACTCAGTAGATTTTCTGCCCCATTAACTGTCAGCGAGCTCATCTTTGGGTTGAAATCTTGACCCTGCTGAAGGCCTGATTACACTAGAATAACTTAAATGTGCTCAGATGCAGAAAATGCTCATTACAAATTCAATACTGGATCCAAAAATCTGCTTATGCTTTGGATCAGACTGTTGCAATTAAAGCATCAGTGTTCTGAAAGGCAAAAAAAGTGCGACTTAGCATTCAGATTTTCTTTTTCTAGTCTATTTCCAATAGCGGTGTCTCTAAGATGGTGCACTTTTTCCTTTATGTAAAAAAAAAAAGAAGCACATATAATGGTTCACTGTAGAAATAATGAATAACTAGAAAAAGCTGGATTCTTTAGCAATATGAATACCAAGCTTCTATTTCTACAAGAAAATAATTTTAAAAGCCTGACAAATGCCTATGATATGCTATAGGCAGATGAAAATTTTAGCATTTATACTTAAGGGTCTTGTGGACTTTTTCCTACCCATAAGCTATATTGATTCTGTTGTTAGATTATAGAGGCTTGAGGAGTTTATTTTTTGCTTTGGACAAGCAATTTTTCCTCACAAATCCCAGTGAAGACCAGACAACTGCAGTGACAGCATGAAGTAAACCGATCATTTTCATACTAGGGTAACAGTGAAAAGTAAAACTTTTCTACAGAACAAAACGAAAGAAAAACTCACACATGCAGTGCAGGGTATAAGCCACCACTAGAAAGTAGCTTTTTCCCTTAATGCAATGAAAACAGGCCAAGAAAATCTCCCTTGCAACACAGCCATGTTCTAGTTAACCAAGAAAAAAAAGGAGGCTTACAAGCTAGTGCTGCTGGCTTTGCGCACATTAGCTGCTTCTTCCTCTACGAGCACCTCCCCTCACCGACACAGCAACCCCAGTGATTCCCATCTGCATGCCTGGCCGCAGACAGATTCGGAAGGGGACATCCAACTCACTCGCGCCGTGCTGTTGAACCGCCAGTTCTGTGCTGCTGGGTCCAGCGTGGGAACTGGGCTCCTGAATCATTCTAAATCCTTGCACTTTTGGTGTTAAGTGTGATGACAAAACACATACTATTTCTTCAGTAAATGGAAATGCAAAGAGCATATAATCTCTCCTTGTTGGCAGCATCTGATAAGCTTTCCTGCTCTGCAGAGTAGTAGAATAGGTTCCCCCCCTCCACCTACTAAATACACTTAAAAGGACAACCAGAAAATATTTCCTCATATAAGATGGGGGCATAACCTTTTGCTTCAGCTGTCTTGTTAGAAGTAATTAACAAACTTCCTCACTGTGCCTTTCTCCTGAGCCTGTAGCCTTGATGCAGTTCTTTCAGTAACGCAGTGCGTGGGCTTTTGTAAATCTTAGTTTTTGTGCACCTCAATTTACTCCATACATTAAATATAAAGAAGCTGAAGCGCAATGCTAACAATCATGAATTTCACAAAGTAGGTTCAGCACTTTCAGATAGGGATGAAGCCTGAGGTAAGTCAATATATTAACACAATATGCTTGATACAGTTATATTTCTGTTAGCTGACACTGTCAATTTGGTTTGTTCAGCTATCGAAGGCACAGACCTAAGCAGTTTAGAACAAAAGTCTTAAAAGATGAACACACTTAGCTCAGGATTTTAACCAAATGTAACAGCACCTGAACTCATGCAAAATAAATTTAGGAAGCCTCACAAGTAATCAAGTAACAGTGGAAACAGGTACCTAGAAGAGTCAGAACAATAAGCAGCAAGTTCCTTGGGAGCTGATGGGCATATAAATCATGACTCTTGTTTCTGAGCTTACAAGTAGGAGCCAAAATACAAGAGTTTGTTTTCAGAACTTCTGATCAAGATTTCTGTCGAGAAACATAAATTTCAAACTTGTACCTGCTGAGTGGGCTGTAGTCTCTGTTTTTCATTCTGCCAGTGTTTAAATCTGTCAAGGGCTTCATCCATAGAAATTGCCCCCTTCTTCACCTTTTCCTGCAAGTGAATGAGTTCTTCCTGCTCAGCAGGGATGCTGCATTTCACAGTGCTGTAAGTTACTGTGTCAGTGTGGCCTCCGTGTGCTGCTACAAAATGTAGAAAGATAAAGATTAAAAAGAAAAAGTTAATGACCCATTGCATTCTTTTCTCTTTAAGATGCAAGCACGTTTTTCAACAAAGGCATTTCAACAGTGATTTTATAATCTGACATCAATAAGAACATACCATTCTGCAGGATAGCTTCCCCTCTCCCTTTTCTTCTTATGTTTTTTTGCTTTTTTTGGTGCAGTTGGTTTTTTTGGTTTGTTTTTTTTTCTTCCCAGTGAGAGAAATGCAACAAATCAATGAGGGTTCTACCATTACTCTTTGGCAGTAGAATAACACCTTAAACATTTTGTTCATTATTACTGACCTGATTCATGGATTCTCCATTAGCGTCAGTTCAAATAAGAATTTCCTTCTAGCACTAAAGCTGTAGTACTGACATTTTAAAACAAATTGTTGTTATGTTAAATACAAAAGATATCCACAGTCCCTTTTTGTTCCCTTCCTACTCCAACTTCACACTTTACACTTCTCAAAAGTTGGGACTGAAATTTAACCACAAAGCATTTTGAAATTTCATATTATTTCCTTCCCCCATATTATTTACTACACTGCAGAGATAACAAAACACTACAACCTAGTCCTCCTAGAGATGATGATACAGGTGCACAACTGAAGGGTGTGTTACCAGGGAGGTGTAAGACCTCCTATCTCCAAGACATGGGTACTGAAAGAGCCACTCCAGAACACCCGAGCAGCAGTGAAATGGGGCTCTCCCAGCCCTGCGTGAGGCTACTGCAACGGTGCCATAAAGCACTGGTTGCACCACACAAGGAATGCAGCCAGGGTAAAAGTTTTTCTGCTATGTTATGCGCCAATATGTTTACTTTAAGTGAGGAACACTAAGGAAATAAAAACCAGCTCCTCTGTCTTCTCCCACTCCCTCCTTTTAATCTTACTAGCATGTATTAGGTGTGAATCTCTATATGGTCCTGCATCTCCAGATGCCCTAGGGATGAACACAGAACTACAGGTTGGGTCTCCCCAGAGCAAAGCAGAGGTGCTGAATCACCTCTCTCAACCTGCTGGCCACGCTTCTCTTGATGCAGCCCAGGATGCAACCGGTTTTCTGTGCGGTGAGCACACAGGGCTGGCTCGATCAGCTTTTCATCCACCAGTACCCCTAAGTTGTCCGCTGCAGGGCTGCTCTCAATCCTTTCATCCCCCTGCCTCTATGAGTACCGGGAGTTGCCCCAACCCAGGTGCAGCTCTTCCCTTCTCCACTGATGCAGACACTCCATCACAGAAGATCACTAAGTTGGTTTGCAGAGGTGTGCTACCAATATTTCAACAAAGTAAGATCTAGAAGGTCCTGTATTCTTCTCCTAAGTGGTTTAGCATTCATGGAAAGTAACATCAGTAGCACAGGAGACTGCAGCTCCCTGCTGCAGAAATAAACAGGCAACTACGTGCTGCTCTGTATGCTACAATCCTGACCTGCTACTTGTTAACAGAAGGGGGAGGAAAAATCCTCGCTTAGTGTTCATTCATTTTGTACATAACATTGTTGATTATTTATGGAATTTATCGTAGCAACATTTTGATGGGCTACAATTCAAATAACAACTGGACTGCCACAAGTAATTCATGTTACATGGATCTTGCAGTACCCAGGAAAGAACTGATGCTCTCCACACTGCTGTCTTTCCAGGGCCGGAATTAGTGCACAGCTGAGCCCTCCCGTCCTTCATTTCCTTGAGTTTAATCATAATGAAGAAAGGAAATAGAAAATCGTGAAGTAACTCTGACTCTACAAATCTTTCCCACAAACTGTAACTTTTTTTTGGTTCTTTTTAAAAACCTGATCTCTTAATGCTGTAATACCATTAAGGATATAACTCACATATAATCATAGAATCATTAAGGTTAGAGAAGACTCCTAAGATCATCAAGGCCAATAGACAACCCAACACTACCATAACCACTGAACCATGTCCTGAAGTGCCATGTCTACACATTCTCTGAACACCTCCAGGGACAGCGACTCCATCACTTCCCTGGGCTGCCTGTTCCAATGCTTTGCTGCTCTTTCAGTAAAGAATTTTTTCCTAATATCCAATCTAAACCTCCCCTGCTACAACTTGAGCTCATTTTCTCTCATCCTATCACTTGTTACTTGGGAGAAGAGACCAACCCCCACCTCACTACAGCCTCTTTTCAGGTAGTTGTAGAGAGCAATAAGGTCTCCTCTGAGCCTCCTCTTCACCAGCCTGAACCACCCCAGTTCCCTCAGCTGCTCCTGATTCCTCAGCAGCTTCACTGCCCTTCTCTAGACACACTCCAGCACTTCAATGTCTTTCTTATCCTGTGGCATCCAAAACTGAACACAGTACTCAAGCTGTGTGTCAAGCATGTATGTGGGAAAATAGATGCTGTATCAGTCAAAATCAAGTCACAGCAAACCTCTACCAGTTCTACTGAAAAGCATCAAGACAGATAAATAGCAAATTAAATTTTGTACCGGGCTTTCTGGCACTGCAGTACATCCTGACGTTGTCACTGGACACTTGAGAGGCCTTTTGCTGAAACACTACAACAAAATTAAGAATATAAGTAAGTTGGTGAAAAACAGAAACAAAAAAACATCACACATTCTTAATGAAGGAAGAAGGCTCATAAAAGCAGGTTAGAATAAATTTCTTGTTTTAGTCTAGGAGTAATTCTTAACTCACTTGTCAGTCTAATGTTAAATACTTGAAAAATTGTCCTTTTGCAGAGAATGGCAGGATTACTGATAGTACAGATATCATGACAGGAAGCTTTGAAGAAAATAAATTAGGTTTAACCCATTAACATATTACTTGTTCAGAAAAAACAGCTGGATTTCCGAGGTCTTGACATGGTACAGACACTTACTCTAGTTTGTTTCTTATTTTATGAGGCAAGCCAAGGCAGAAAAACCACAATAGTACTAGGTGAGAATAATGACATTGCTTAAGAAAGAGTATGTATATATTTTTGTTTACTTTATTCAAGTACTAGGAACAGCAAAGCATGATCACTTATTCTATAAGTACAGTTCATCATCCCCATTCGTGTGAGGTGCCCAGAGTACAGCCAGCCTCGATACGCCCTGAAATGCTGCAGTCAGACTTTTGCTGGCAGCGCATATAAAACCCAGAAGGTGGGAATTGCTTGGTTTCTGACTTTGCTACTGCCATATAGGCTTCCCCTCTTCAGTCTCAGTTCTGACTCTAGCCATACTAACTGATAATCTAAATTAATTCCTTCCCATTAAGTAATCTTTCTGACATCAGTGCAATGCAGCAAACGTGACAGTTCAACGGAGCAAATATTTGCTTGGGGACCAAGGCCCAGTACAAGGGAGCTCTGCTCAAGCGGCAGAGCAGGCATGCTCTGCATGGTTCCCTGGAGTCCTGGCTTCTGGCTCCTGCTAAGCGGGGAAACCCAGTGGAGCTCGGTTTGCTCCTTGTCTGCCTGCTCAGGCTGTCTCGTCTGACACAGCCACTTCTCTCAGGGGAGCTTGTAAAACGGATGATCAAGGCGGGTGTGAGATCTCAACTCTGCACATGCTACATTGCAGAGGTGAGGAAGGAGCAATTTCTAAGGGTGTATGTTCTACACCGCAGAATAACGTCCTTATGCTAACTCCTGAGCAGGCCTGTATGGGAGGTGATGATGAATGAAAACAGCTGGGGGCTTGATGTTCCTTAAAATGTTCTCAGGCTAAATGGAGAGAGTAAAAGAACTATATAGGCAGCACATTCTGCTGATGTTATGTCTCTAGCTTCAGCCTAATGCTGACAGGTTTTCACTTTTCTAATACTCTCCTCTGTAACTCTCAAAAGAATCCTGCTAAATATGATCGTAGTGTTTTCTTCTATACTTGAAATAGTATTCTCTGCTTAAGGAAGAAATTAAAGCAACCAGAACAGAGAGGTAATGCAGGCAGCCTGAATTTTACTGCATAAAGAGAAGGGATATATACTCAACAATGTCTCTGATTGGAAAGCATTTTAATTGATAGACTTTTAAATTTCTGCTGAGTTTTGCAGTGTAGGAGTAATCAGAAATGGAATTACTCTTCCAGTTCAAAGTAGAATTGTTAAAACCACTTTACATGCCGCATCTTGTTGAAATGATTTAATTGGCAACAAGTGTTTAGTGTGGGTGAGGTTACTAAAAACAAATTCCTGTTTCTAGAATGCCTGGAAAGATGTATGCACACACCACTGTACGACTGCCACAGGTTTAGGGAAAATCCAGCAATTTACTCTTTCAGTCCCATATTCTAATTACTTACGATCTGCTTGAATGCAGTAGTGGAATAAAAGAAACAGGTAATCTTGCACAGGGATATATTTCATTATTTCTTATGGATGATAAAGTGAGTATTCCCTCAGTAAAGCAGTATTAATATGGCGATTTTTTTAAAGTGTCAGAATGCTATAGTCCTTCAACTGAGGAAAGATATACATATTTATATTTTTAGAGCCTCTCTGGCATAGATAATGTGATTTAAAAGTTTCAGTACTTGTAGTGTGATTTTTTGCTTAATGTGCACCCTTCAATAACATCTGTATGATCAGACAGTCCTTCTGAATTTTTAATCACATTGTGACTAGCTAAAGTGCCCATAGATGCTTGTAGGTCAAAATCTATGAATTAAATGCCCCGAGCCCATATATGCTATGTATTCTTTGTCTACAATGTATCTCTTCTCTCTGAGAGAACTAATAAGTAATTCCACTTTATTCCCTCTCCTCTCTTCAGTTGCTACAGGACACAGATGAAGTTCTTTGTGTGCCCTAAATACATTGTTTATGTCTTATGTAGTAAGAACACTTTTTAGGAACATAATGCAACCTCAGAATTTCTCTAGGAAAGCAAACTCAGAGAGTAAAAAACTACTGTCATATTTTCTAGTAGGACACGAAATCGGAAAACAACATTTAAAAAGTGGGCAGATACGCAAAAGTCTGGGAAAATCCCTAACAGAAGGCTTGGAAAGGAAGTGGGATCCAAGGAACTCTGAATTGCCTTTTTTTTTTATATCAATCACACTAGTTACAGATGTTTTTTCAGGCTGTCTGCAAACACAGGTAAATAATGTTATGAGGCTTGAAACACAGTTAATATTTTCATAGCAATCACCACAAGCAGAAGGTCTAGAAACATTTGAAATCCATGGCTCTTGTGTATAATTCTGTACCAAGCAGTTTCTAGTCACGCACTGTCCAAGAAACTATGATGAGTATAAAGAGTCTAGAAAGAGAGAATAACTTTTTTAACAATAGCTGCAGGTTGACAAAAAGAACAGAAATTTGATTTTCAGAATTAATTGAGGTTCTAACACAAAGCGGAAATGGTAAGGAATCACAGATGCACTATGACATTTCAAAAATTGCTTAGCGATAGGCCAGTAAGAACTGATAAAATTAGAAACACACACAATCAAAATGCAGTTACATTATGAGAGAGGACAACTTGTATCACTTAAAAGGCAATGATCAACCAAAATATGGTTTCCAATTTTCATATTACTTGTATAAACTATGAGGATGTTGCCTAATTTCCTATATTAGGAACATTACCTCTAAATATCAAACAACAGTTTGCCGTGATAGATTAGTGATTCAAATAAACCTAGACCAATGAACCTACCCTCTGGAAAAATATGTGAGCTAATCATACCTAATATGTACCTATTTCCTCAACACTTTCAGCAGAAGAGATGGAGGGGAAAAATCATAGAATCATAGAATCATTCAGGTCAGAAAAGACCCCTGGGATCATGAAGCCCAACTAAACCATATCCCCCAATACCACC